TGTGTGTGTGTGTGTGTGTGTGTGTGTGTGTGTGTGTGTGTGTGTGTGTGTGTGTGTGTGTGTGTGTGTGTGTGTGTGTGTGTGTGTGTGTGTGTGTATTTGTGTGTGTGTGTTGTGTATTGTGTGTGTGTGTGTGTGTGTTGTATGTTGTTGTTGTGTTGTGTGTGTGTGTGTGTGTGTGTGTGTGTGTGTGTGTGTGTGTGTGTGTGTGTGTGTGTGTGTGTTCAATTCTTGTTAACTTCTTTTTGAAAATTAAATCACTTTTGACTTATTGGTGACAATTGTGTGTTCTTTTCAATTCTAGATTGAGCTTGAAAGGTCAAGGCAAGAATTACAAGACTTAGATCTTACAGTGTCACAACTAAGAGAAGTAAGTAATTCAAAGATTGTTTAGGGTTTAATTTGGTCTGTTGTGCTTATATCTTTGATTAAGCTATGTTGATGCAAAAGCATGACTTATAAGTTTCCAGTTTCCATGTGATTTAATGATACCTTGCCTCCACTTCATTCTTTTGAATAAACGTTGTTTAAAAAAAAAAATGTGATTTAATGATACAGTAGCACAAACACAGTGCTGTTAGTATTAAATATTCATCGAAGTCTGTATGTTTACCTGTATTAAATAGAAGGGCAACAGTTTGGCAGTTGCCATGTAGTTTTTCATTACATTTTAATAGCCTTAAACACAGTCTAATAATACATACCTATATGCGTGCCATACCTGCATTAACTCTTTACAAGTATATATTAATTTTAATATCTTTTCTTTGGAGAGAACAATTACCTGGTGTGTAAGTTGTCTTACATGAAAGCAGACTGTTTGTTTTTTTATTGTAAACAATATGTCACCTGTGTGTTATCAGGAAAAGCAGCAGTATGGAGAAGACAATGCAGCTCTGAGGTCGCGGCTGTCGTCACGGGAAGCAGACTACCAGAGACTGGAGGAACTTATGGCCAAAGTGCAGGAAGACAAGAAGAGGCTCAGTCAGAGAGTGAATAAATTAACTTCTAATGGTAAGAATAGTAGACAGATATTGGATTCACAAATGGATTGATTTTTGTGAAAAAGGACAATATATATATAAATAAAAAAGCAATAAATATATAATAAAGGTGTTGTTCCAAAGTTGATGCTATGAAGTATTGCAAAACCTTAAATTATACACATTTGTAGTTTTAGTCCTGTTTTGGTTAACTTTTCAGAGTGAGAGCTTGTGTTGTGGTGTTGCTGTGAAGTATTGAGACACCCTTAAAATTATACACATTTTAAATTTCACTTCTGTGTTTGCCAACTTTTCACTTTTCAGAGCGAGAGCTTGTGTTAGAAATTGAGAGGTTGAAGAAGAAGAATGGCCTAGTCAAGAAAAGAGGCAAGTCTCCCAACCGCCTGGATGCCTTCATCCGAGGTCTGGAGGAGGAGAGAGATTATTACAAGGGAGAGGTGGACACGTTGCAGAAGATGATGCAGCAGCAGCGGTCAGCTTCTCCGTCCAGAGGACGCAGTCCAGCCAGGGCAAAACGTGACACCTCCCCAGCAGGAAAGGTATGGCAATGATGTGGAGTTTAAATACAAAATCTTCAAGAGACAAAGAAAACCAGTCAGTCACTTGTTAAGCTGAGGTTTTGATCAGTCTTTAAAAAATTATTAGAAAGCAGTTTGGCATTATAAAAAATTATTAGAAAGCAGTTTGGCATTATTTTGTAAAGACTGATCTATAGGAGTAATAAAAAATCTACATACATTTTGAATATTTACGTTGTTGGGAGGTACAAAAGTCATCAGGTTCTGTGTATTTTGACAGAGTGCGGCTCACTACGAGACCATAGTTCGTGTGTTGGAGGACGAGAGAGACTTCTACAAGAAGGAGTATGAGAAGGCACGCACAATGTCCAGAACAGCCAGTCCTGCTCGCTCTCCTCCAACTAGAGACAGGGTGAGGCTTTGAGCTTATTATGTGAAAGAATTTTTTTGTATTATTTCTGTATATGTGAGTAACGTTCCCCTCTCCTCCCTTCATGTTGTTTAATTTTCATTTATTTATTTATTTATTTATTTATTTATTTTATTTTTTTCAATTTTGAAAGGAGACTTTGTAAAATTTCTCTTAAACTTTATAATGAGAATTGGAAATAATTCAGTTAAAAGTTTGGGTGAATTTGAGATCAATAATTTTGTACTCCAGCATCATGTAGTGCTGCAGAGTCATTTCTTTATTATTAACTTCATGTCTGAGTCAAGCTGTCTGTTTCTTGTTCAGAGTGTTGCCGAGGAGACAGAGCTGCTCAGGGTGACCCGAGAGAGGAACGAGTTACAGGCATTACTGGACAAGTTTGAGCGGCACATGGCCGAGATCCAGTCCAATGTCAAGGTGCTAACGTCAGAGAGAGATAAGCTGAATCTGATGTATGAACAGGTGGGTACGGTTATCAGTTCTGACACAACCACTGTTACCAGTACAAGCTTTAATTAGCTTAATGAGGAGCAGAGAAGCAAGATTATTATTTTGTGGAATATTTGTTGTGGAGATGCCTGAAAATTTTCCTTTGCCCTCGTTCTTACACCAATGTGCAGGCTCTTAGCATGTGTATGGATACACTTAGTTTGGGCTCTCTGTCTCTGAAAATTATGTGATTTCTCGGTACATTGTCATATAATTGTTTATTTCCTTCCCTGCTCTAATTATGAAATATTATTCACATCCAGACTAAAGAAGAGCTGCAGAGGATGAGGAGAGACGTGGTGAAGTCTCCCAAGTCTCCTAAAGTTTCTCTGGCCGCGCAGGCAGTGTTACGGCGCGTGGAGAATGAGAGAGATGACGCAATCGCAGACTTGAGGCGTATGACCACAGAGAGAGATAGCATGAGGGAAAGACTAAAGGTAGAACAGAAAATATTGAGATTATTCTTCTTATCATTATTGTAAAGAATTGAACAGTAAAGTTTTCTTTTCTTAATGGCAATCAGATACACATGGTAATGCAGCCAGTGGAATGGTTTAGAAATCATTTGGCAAAAATCTTAGGTGGAATGCATTTCCTCTTGCAGATGGCCACAGAAACAAGTCTATCAGACAGAGCCAGGCTGGAACAAAAAATAGAAGATTTAGAAAATGCACTGCATAATGTAAGTGACAGCAATTGAAAAATGGTACTCCAAATATTAGAAGTTAATTAGTTGCAGGGACATTCAGCTCCCACCTTTGCTCACCTTCCCCTTCGTGTTATTTTTTTGTTCAGATTTTCAATTAAATCTTCTTCATAGATTGGATTATGATTTGTTACATTTAATCAGTTGCATTATTTTTCTGTTTTGTAGAGACTGCATAACATTTAACATGCCACTCCTTCCTTGATCCTGTTATTTCTTCAAAATTTTATTCACAAAGACTGCACAACCTTCTGAGAAAATAGACTACTGACCATTATTACATCTATATTTCAGGTGGAGGTGGAGAGAAATGAACTTCAGGTAAACCTGAGCACACAAAAGGCTCTGACCAACTCCTCCGAGGACCAGTGTAGAGAGCTGAACATCCAGCTGAATGCTGCCCTGGAGGAGGGATCTCAGCACAAAGCTACCGCCACGCAGATGAGGTGGGTGGTCACTCGGACACTGTGATGTTGGTCACTACTGGTGTCAGATAATTGACCAGAAGGTGTTTCACCAGTAAAAACATGGGATTTTTCAAAATTAACTAGTTGTGTTACTGAAAAGTTGAGCATTGTTTTCAGAGTATTTTTCCATTGCTGCTTGATTCAGCCTTTAGACTAGTTCACATTGATTCAGACTTGTTGCTTTCCTACTACTGTACTACTACTACAAGTGCCCATTGGACTGAAAAGCTGGCAAAATGAATGACCTGGAGCTTTACTGATAATGACCAGGGTACACAAGTCAAACTGCTGCCTACATAATGCTGTATTTATTCTACTTTGTACACCTACATGAGTAGATGAAAATCAACAATAGAGATACAATTTATTCAATATACAGTTATAACAGAACTACTGGCATATTGCAGATATTATGACTGAACCAGAATAACTAAAGTATTTATACATGACTTTGTGTGGTGTTTGGAATTATCATGGAGAATTACCAGCACTACCATATATTGATAATATTAAATGTCATTTGATATCATCAGGTTGCTGGCAGAGCAGACAGAGGAGGCCCTGGAAGAGCACAGACGTAGACTCACCAGGAAGGAAGGAGATCTCAAAGTAGCGGAGGAACGAATTCTACGCCTGGAGGAGCGTTCCACAGACCTGCAGCGTGCCAATGTCAACCAATCAGATCAAATCACTCAGCTCCGTGGCACAATAAGTGCGCTAGACGGAGAGAAAGACAGTCTTCAAATGACAGTGGATGAGAAGTCCGAAAGGATAGCTGGTCTAGATGCAGAAGTTGTAGTTAGGGTGAGTTTATAGATGTTTTATCTGACCTATCTCACCTTGGTTAAGCTGGAGTAGAAAACCTAAGATAGTAAATTTGTATGTAACCAAAGTAGAAATATAAATCTCAACTAATATCCAACAACAACAACAACAACAACAACAACTTCCTGTGTTTAAATAGATTATTTGGAGTATTTTTTGCCTGACACTTTATAGCATTTCAGATTTGATTTGATGTTTATATTTAGAGACAATATTTTAATTTGATTCTTTTTATTTCCCCTGAAAATAGGACAGACAGATCAGTGATTTAAGGATAAATATAGGAGAGTTAGAGGCCCAGCTGGAGTAAGTACTTCTTCAAATGGTTTATCTGTAGAATTAAAATGTCGGCATTTATTTGAAAGTTCACATGAGGTGAATAGATTAGGAATAGATAATGGTTATTTGATTGATGATAAAAGTAACCATTTGATAGACCAAGAAGTAGGAAGTGACTCTGTAAGAATATCTTTATATATGTCTGCATAACCTTCCCTTTATTAAAAGAAATTTCATGTTTTATAAGCATCATCATAACACTTCCCAATACCATCTCCTTCAGTCGTGCCAATGAAAATATTAACCAGTTGGACCGCGAGATCAAGAGCCTACGTCGCCAGCTGGACAGTACCACTGAGGAGCTGTCAGAGACCACCAGGGGGCGTGAGGTGGCTCTACGAGAAAACAGGCGACTTCAAGATGACCTGGCTGCCATGACAAGAGAAAACCAGGTAAAGTCTTATTAGAGTTTATTATTATAATTTAGATTTATACTGTAATCCATTGTAAGATTAAATTGTGCTTCTAAAAATGTGCCTAAATCACAGTTTCTTTCTATCTCTCTATAATGCCACAGTAAATACAACCCTCTACAACTTATGAGGCTAGTTTTAGCATCTAATTCCTTGCTCTGTCCCATATTTTTGTTGGTTAAGGACCAGAAGCCCTTGTCTGCCTGTAGCTTTCTTCCCAAGATATTATAGGCAAAAAGGGAAGAAAAAAATAATGACTTATATAAATAATAAAAGGGTGTTTTTTTCTAATTGTCAGAATCTAAACCAAGATCTCCAGGACACGATAGATGAGAGAGAGGAGTTGAAGAACCAGGTGCAGGACTATGTGATGGAGGTGAAGAGAGTGGAGGAACTACTGGCAGCTAAGGTGGGCTATAATAAACCTCTCTACCTGAAGGGGGAGGGGGGGGTCAGGGTATTCTTATTACTGGCAGCTAATGTGGGCTATGTACCTTTCTACCCGAGACTTTACTTTATCCTGATTTGGGGGGGAGGGGGGGTCCGGGACTCTTTTCCCTGGGGCTAAATATTTGTTGTTTATTTTACCCAGGAGCTCAAATGTTGATAAGAAATTATTTTTTATTACAAAATGACAGTGGACCATACAGTTTTGATAGGAAAAACTTACAAACCAAATTTTGCTGGGGGTAGAGTAGATATTGGTTTAAATTCAGTATGGTTAGGTGTGCAATTCTCACAGTGTGGCCAAGGTAATGTGCCAAGGGTGGTGCTATTATAATAATAGGCTTCCTGCTTATGTGCTTGCATATCCTCAGCAGCATGTTGCATGTGGTCTCAGCTATTTGCCACCAAAGCAACAGATGTTTGATGTTTCTGAGGGAAGAAACCTGGCAGCAGCTTATGGCACAGTCAGTGTGTGCTTGCTTATATAACTTATGCATCTCCCCATTCTTGCTGCATATATTCATATATATATGGATGTATGTGTGTATGTATAGTAAGGAAGCAGCTTACAGGCATTGGTGCTTGTCAGACGCACATTGGAGCAGTCACTGTTTTTAAGAGTGGAGTGAAGCTGATTTTTGAAAGAAGATGTGTTTGTAACATTTCTTGAATTAATTTTTGTAATTAGATTAAAAATTAGTAGATTACTAAATTCTTGTGCTGTGAAAGACTTGCTTTAATTTATAAAGTTTATAAGCTTCAATAATTTGGACAATGGCCATGATTTTTTTTGTCTCCTTTTTTCATAGCAAAATTGCCATTAATTTTTAACAAATTTATCTCAACTCATATCCATATGTTTGGTTGTGACAATCTCTGTTTTTCTCCTTGCCTAGGACCAGGAGCTGATGGACTTACTAGAACAGTACCAAAACTCTCTTCTCTCTGCTTCCCACTCTACACTCACTGCCCCTACTGACCAGGTACTGGCATATATGTGGAGATATACATGTATATGTATATATGTGTATATGTATACATGTATATGAATATATGTGTATACTAGTATGTATATATGTATACATGTATGTATGTAAAGTAGTCACCTGTCACCCCTCCCCGCTCTGTTGCTTGAAATCTTCCTGCTTGCTTGTCTCTCTCCCTTGACTTGTCCAGCGTCTTGGTTCTTTACAGCATTCTGCAGCTTACTTTTATTTTTATCATTTATATAGACAAGCATTTTACTGTTTAGTTAACTTAGTTTTATTATCTCTCCCTGTGCTTCATTCAGTTTTGGTGCAAATTTATTGTTGGCTTTTTATATGGTGAGAAGTTTTAGACCATTCTGGCAGTGGTCACCTATGAAGTCTGTACTGCTTAGATTCACTGTCACCCAAATGCATGGTTTTGACAACTAATTATTGTTACATCCTCTGCCAGTGCTTTGTGTTCATAGTTTTGTCCCCAATCCTCTGGGTCACTTATTTGTTCTTAGTTGTATCACATTTTTTTTTCATTTCTTACTTATGATGTTACACAATTAAGGCATATTAGTTATTGGTGTTTTATAGTTATTCAGTGCACTCGATCCTTCATAGTATGGGTAATCTGTATCATGAAACATTGTGCTTTTATCACAGGTTATAATAAAACTTTTAGCAAAAGACTGGGGCACTTGGTTCTGTCCATCTTATCTTGGTCACTGGTTGTGGTATGTAGTTTCTATGTGGGCACGTTGTTTTAGCATTTCCTTCTTTGGGATCAACTTTTGTTGTACATAGCTGTATGGAATATAGTCACTTAGTGTTTTATACAACAGCACCACCTATAGTGCATATTGTGAGTTATGGTTGAATGCATCCTATGAAAAATGGCTTGATGTAATGACACCTTCACTGTTTGATGCCTAACAATCCATCCCTAGCTTTTGCTCTGTGGTTGTTTATAAGTAATATATCTTTAACATGGTTAGTATTAGGTCATAATTTATAATAAAAGGGTTGTATGTGATAAATGATAAAGTTATAGCTCAAAGGAAAGAAGATGGTATAATACAGCATATGTCAACTTTTTATCGCCATTTTTGTTTACCTCTGCCTCAGATGCATGCTCTTTTTTTTTTTTGGCTTTTTGTTGCAATGATATTTTAAGATAAAAATGATTTTATCAATAAGTTGTTATTACTGTTGCATGGTCCTTTATTGGTTTGTTTTTCCATGTTTATTTTACACGGTGGCAGAAACATTCAGCAAGATTAATCTGTTCAAGTTACACTCTTTTTGGTTAGAATCAGTAAGATAAATGATTCTATTGACCCTGAAATTGTACTAAAGCAACTGATATTGCAGCTATTTAAATGAAGAGACTGCACCACAGGGTTGCCAACATCAGTGGACTCAAAATACTTCCAGTTATTGTTTAACGTACAGTTCATTGTAAAATCATTTCTGAACCTGAAAACAATTTAAATCAATACTGGAACAGTGTAGAAATCTAAATAATGCAAGGAGTTGGCAAATATGGCCCTTTTGAAAATTGCAATATATACATATAACTTCATTTAAGCACGTCATCATTTCTCTATATATATATGTATTGTGCCCTACAGGAGGACGAGAGGGGAGATCTGTTGAACCAGTATAGGGTCCTCAGTAGGGAGGCGGAGAGATACGAGACACAGACCCACCAGCTGGAGAGCGAGGGCTCAAACCTACGTCTAGAACTCATGTCACGAGACTCCGAGGTCAGGAGGTTAAGAGATAAAGTAGAGCTGATGGAACGCGAGATACAAGAAGTGAGTGGTTGGTCTTGGTTCTTGTTGGCAAATGTGAGGATTTGTTTATGAGAGTATTAGAAAGGGGGCAAAAGGCCTAGATTGGTTGATTTATGGGTTGTTTCCAATGAAACTGTCATTCTGCATAGTTCGATCGATCTCCGCGGGGACTGTCGCTGAATGCAATCAGAACAGATTAATACACGTAAAGTAAAAAGGCGTAGAGTAGAAGTACAGTACAGTAGAATACAGAAAAGATAGTGATTATACAAGTTTTAAAAATATGACATTTAGATGAGTAAATTGCGAATTTCATTGAATTATTGAGAGACAAAACTAGAAGTTTGACTCTCAGGTAGTAGGTTGTGTTTTATATGTTGTGATTTCTCTCCCAGCACCTCCATGCTCAGCAGGCCTACGAGACCCAGGTGTCCAGTCTGACGCGGTCCGTCTCTCAGCTGGAGGACAACCTACGGGTCACAGAGGACGAGCGTCTGAGTGTGCAGCAGGATCTGGCTGCTGTACGTGACCTGTGTGCCAAGCTGGAGGCCACCAAAGACTCACTGCAGAGACAGTTGACAGGGAAGACCCTGGATCAGGAACAGGTAGGGCGTTAAGTCCTGTAACATCATGTTTATCCATAGTTAGGACTTTATACGGATCTTTAAGATGGATGTTGTGTCAGATACTTCAAAATCACTTGCTTTATAATGTTTTATGACACGAGTTCATTGTGAAACAGAATGTTAATGTCAGTTTTGAATGTTTGAGATAATACACTGTTTCTCGAGCGGTATATACCAGAACAACTTAGAAGGTCTGTGAGAGGTGTTCAAGGCCTTTGAGGTGAGAGGGTGGCAATGTGCTCTTAGACATACATACCAAGGGAAAGTACTCATATTTCACTAAAAAACGCCCCTAAAACTGAATAAAGCGTATATCGCCATCGTCATAAAAACATCTCTAGTATATGTAATATATCTCCAGCTTCAAGCCGCCCTGGACGAGCTGAAAGCAGACGCAGATGCGTTACGAAGCCAGGTGAACAGCGAGCGAGGCACAGTAAGGAACCTGGAGGGACTTCTGTCTTCCAACAGAGAGAAAGAGTTCCAGACCCAGCTCAGTGCTCAGGAGAAGAATGCTGAGATACAGCTCCTCAAGGATAGGCTAACTCTGAATGAGAGCAAATTGTGAGTGCAGAACCTGATGTTGTAGTTAAGATTTAAATGGGAACCCTATTGGTTAAATAGTCAAAGGTCTCTAAAGAGACTAAATAATTTTTTACCTGTGAGGCATGACATTATGACTTGTCTCATCGTCAAATGGGTTTGATCACGTGGCTGAGTCACTGAGCTTTGGAAATGTGAAAACTTGTTAAATAATGTACTTGAAACTTAAAAAATAACTTTCTTTATTACAATTATTAGTACCACCAGCGTGTACGCTGGCGGTACTCATGGTTTTAGTCCCGACCCGTCTCGTACGGCTCCTGCGGCTCCGCCGGCTCCGCGTTCTGGCGCCGGATACAAGTCACCGTTACCGCTTCTCCTCCTAGACCGCAAGGGCTCGTGTCCCCATCTCTTGGATTTAGGTCACATGTAATCTCAACTTGAACCCCCTGGTTTTTTTGTCTCAATTGGCGCAATGGCCTGGGCTTAGCACTCGTTTAAATGCACCCTTGGCAAAATTTTTGAAAATTCAATGCCAAATATCTCCCAAACTGAAGGAATTATGGGAAAAATTTCTATAGAAGTCTGACCGAAAGTCATATGTGAAGATTCCAAATATGCTCTTGGATTTGACCTTTATTTCAAGGTCAAATGGGCCAAAATTTTCTAAAAATGGGAATTTTTTGCAAAAAAATATTTGTTTCTGCCAGTTTTTAGAAACTACACAGACCTAAGCTCTCATATTAGAGTGGGGGGTTACAATTAGGGACTTATTTCATTTTCAAAAGTTTGGGGTCAATCAGTGCATTTTCACGGGAGACACAGCCATTAGGAAATCTAATGGCAAAACTGAAAACTCTCCATAATTCTCAAACCAGAAATGACTTATGTAGACCTATGGCTTTTTGCATTTTGTAGAACTTGATAAGCGCTATACTGAAGGTGGTATCCTTTTTTTTGTTTCGATATGGTTTAGGAGTTGTGCTATATCAAATAGTACAATGTTGCAATATTCATGGGTGAAAATAAAATGTGAAATAATCTAAAATTAGCATAGTTACTATTGAACTTGAATAGGGAGTCATATACTGGCTACCTTACTGTGACCTTGAAATTGACCTTTGACCTATTTTTCACCATGAACTAAACTTTACACATTTTTAATCCCTTATACCTCCAAAACTCACAGAGTTTTGCCTATAGTTTCTACTGATTTGAATAGGAAGTCATATACTTGCAATCTAACTGTGACCTTGAAATTGACGTTTGACCTATTTTTTACTATGAACTGAACTTTGCAACATTTCAGTCCCTATAGTTACTATTGAACTTGAATAGGAAATCATATACTGGCAATCTTACTGTGACCTTCGAATTGACCTTTGAACATGAACTATCTTTGCAAAAATTTGTTCCTTTATATCTCCAAAACTGGCAGAGATATGCCCATAGTTACTATTGAACTTGAATAGGAAGTCATATACTGGCAATCTTACTGTGACCGTGAAATTGACCTACTTTTCACCGTGAACTGAGCTTTGCAACTTTTCTGTCCCTGGTATCTACAAAACTGGCAGAGATATGCCCATTGCTACAATTGAACTTGAATGGGAAGTCACATACTGACAATATGTGAAATTGACCTTTGACCTATTTTTTACCATTTTTTACTATGAACTGAGTTTTATGTCTCCAAAACTGGTTGATCAAACAATTTTTACAAAGGTTATGCAGTTTTTCCCTTCTTTTGGCATATTTTAAGAACTGGTTTATTGCAATTAGTTAATTTTGTCAATCACAGCACAGGTGGTAGTGGTGGTGGTGGGGCTTACTCCAGCTGGTGGTACAATATCCGGAGGCGGTATCGCCTCTCTGATCCTCTAGTTTCTTTTTGGTTCAAATAAAGAAACCTTAATTAAGCCATCCTGCCAACTCCCTATTTATGTATAGAGTAAAAATAGTTTTTTTATTGGATTTATCCCCCAACAAAAATGAATGGTCTTAAAATTGCTGTTTACAGTAATGATACTTGCTGTAAGCAGTTTCAAATGTCAGCTGCTGTGAAGATGATCTTCCAAAAGTACCCATAACCATCAGTAACTAACCAACCAAGATGTTCAATTAGTAGACTCAAAGCCATTTACATTGCATTTCATTATTTAAATGAGAGAATTCATTTCTCCTTTAATGTGAGTGAGGGGTCTGTTGTTTATTCTGCCAAAAGAAGTTACATTGAAAGTTAAAAGTGATTTAAATTTCATCCTGCAGAACAAACCAAACTAAATGAATTGATAAACCCAAACTTTTATGATTTAATTCTATTTTGATGGTCTAGCTGTTTTGACTGTGTTGTGACCTGGATTTCCTCATGTTTAGGGCAAATACTAACTGTTCTGTGTCTGTTGCAGAAGTGAAATGTTGATTAGTTCACTAGTAGTTAATGGTAGATAATTTGAAGTCTGAAAGGCATGGATGGTACATTATTGGCATGAAATGCTTTATGAATAACAATTAGATTGTATTGTCGATACTTGTCCCCCAATGCCTGATGTCATCTTTATTTGTTTAGAACACAGTATCGAAAGAGGGCATTCAGAATAAATAAGTTGACCTACAGACTAAAAGATCCGCAGACTAAATATGGCTGACACACTTATATCGCATTCACAACGATTTGAGCCATGGCTTTACAAATCCTGGCAATATGGCAGACGTACATGAAAGAAAAACCGCCTAATCTTTTAATAGTCTCTCCGCCTCCCAATGGAGCCGAGATTTAATGACTGTACCCCCGCAGGGACGACGCATGGGGAGGCGTGTGAGAGGCGGAGAGACTATTAAAAGATTAGTCGGTTTTTCTTTCATGTACGTCCGCCATATTTAGCTCCAGGATTTGTAAAGCCATGGCTCAACTCGTTGTGAATGCAATCTTAAAAGCAGTGCCAACTAACTCTCTGATGGCCTCCTCACCTTGCCACATGCCATTGCTGAAGAGGCCTTGCGATTATACATCGGAGCTATGATGTAATCCATTTAATGGTGTGTGTGGTGGCAGGGAGACCATCAATGGATTAAGCGATGCTGTTTTAAAGTGGGGTTGGCCATATTTAGTCAGCATTTCAGATAGTTCTCAGGGTGCATTCACATCGAGCCGAGGTCTAGTAAGGCCACGACCTAAATATGACGGACCTACATGTAAGGAAGACAGCTAATCCTGTAATGGTCTCTCTGCCTCTCACACGCCTCCCCACGTGTTGTCCCTGCAGGGGCACAGTAATTAAATCTCAGCTAAATTCAACTGGTCGAGGGACAACGCTTTGAGAGGCGTATGAGAGGCAGAGAGACCATTACAGACATGCTGAAAACTTTTCAAAATGGCCAGACATTTGGACCGGCAATAATGAAAAATTTGCCGGACCTAATGGATTTTTGCCGGACCCAAAATCACCCTATTCGTTTGAGATGGATACTACGATTAGGTAGCTTACTTTGTTTGTGAATGTGATCAGTTGGAAATGAAAGGTAAAAACGCTTTGGGTTTTATATAATTTTATTAGTGAAGAATGTCGAATGATTACTGTAAATTCAAAGTTATGGTTCTTAAAACTCCAGTCGGTCCTTTGGACCGACCAGGTCCAATTTTTTACCAGTCCAGATATCATGACCGATCGGACCAACAGTTTCAGCATGTCTGCCATTACAGGATTAGCGGTCTTCCTTTCATGTAGGTCCACCATATTTAGGTCGCAGCCTTACTAGACCTCGGCTCTTCTCGATGTGAATGCTCCCTCAGCCTATCTGTTCTGAATGTGCTCACAGTTCAGCTTGGTTTTCAGTGCATTAGTGGCTGTAATGGTATTGTTTGGGACATCAAAATTTGGATATTTCCAGAATTCGTGGATTGGCGTTTTTAGTCCCTATTAGGCTTTACAATAAAAATCCAAATAAATTAGACATAAAGGCTTTTTTATGCCTAAGGGTTTGATAATTGCAATGCTTTTGATTGTCAAAAGTAGAATGACCAGTCAGCGGTGCTTCAGGTAAAAGGTTTGTATATTTTTCATGCATTATTTAAGTGTCCTTGTGTAAAAATGAAACAACTTCAGTTATTGGACTACTAGTAGTTGATATTTATTTTTAATACTATTTATTTATTTATTTATTTATTTATTTATTTATTTATTTATTTATTTGATAATCTTGTCTAAGGTACTTTTGTTTATAGAAAAAAATGTAAAATCTCTGAAAATATATAAGCATCTGATAAAGCTGATAAGGACTTTTTACTGATGTTCCATGCTTTTGATCTGATTTGGTGCTAACTTAATATATCTCCAGTTTCCTTTGGTTAAACAATAATGGGATGATGGGCTTTGAACCTGCTGGGTTTGTTTAGCTTCAGAATTTCTTTATGTGACCCAAATTACCTTTTCTAGTCTCACTTAACCTGGAACAGTTCATTGACTATTTTGCTTCGGTATTCTAAAAAAAGAGAGAGAAAATGTTTCTGCTGTACTTCACATTGACTACTAGTACTTCTAAATATTGTGCGCTCTTTGCTTGTATTTTAATGATGTTGATCTCTGTTGAAATTGTATGCATAATTGTGAAGGTATTATAGTTTATTGTCATATTGTCAGTTTTATTTACAACAAAAACAGTTTTGATAGTATGAATTACATGTTTAAATCCTTAACAAAGACACGAGTTTACAGCATTTATTCTACAAGCTGTTGTTCAGTACACTCAGGTCAAATTATCATAAGACACAAACAACTGTTTATTTATAGATTGCATTTTTGCTTTGCAAAAATGCGTTTCCAAGCCAAAAATAATATGTTTAAGGCATAGGATAGTTTCCTCTATTATTAAAAGTCCAACTAGAAAACAACCCATCAAACAGCTTAAATTGGACAATTTTCCATTGGATTATCAGGAAATTGATATTTAGGTATTTTCTTAGCATGTATTGACATGTGTCTATTAATGTTAGGAACAAGTCGATTCTGATAACAGAGCACCACT